AGAAAATGCCTATAATGACTGCTTCCCAAGGCGCAGCAAGTTGGTCCTTCAGGTTTTCCCTCTGCTGGGTTGGTTTTCATCTCCCAGCTGGAGCAGAGCTCTTCCCCACACCACGGCCCCTGGGAATGCAAAACCTCATCCTGCCTTATTCCACCCTGATTTCTTCCAGGTCACGATGGCTTTGCTCATAAATCAAGGAGGATTTTTTCTCAGTGCCTTTATCCAGCGAGCCTGGCGTGGGGTGAAGTGGTGCTGGTTGGGCTGAACTCATTAGCAGCGAGCTGGGAGTTGGCAGCTCTGATTTATGAAGCAAAGTGACACCGGGTGAATACTCAGGGTCTGGGAGGATTTTGTTTGTCTCATCTGACACCTGCAGCATCCCGATGTGGAGATGACCTGGGAAAACGTGTCCGTCCTCTTCGGAAGGGGTGATTCCAGCATCTGCCTTCAGGTGTGCTCACAAACCTGCCTCGTGCCATCAGTTTGTGGTGTTAAAAGTGGTAAGAAATCATAGAATCCCAGCCTGGTTTGAGTTGGAAGGGATCTTAAAGCTCATCCAGCTCCAACCCCTGCCACGGGCAGGGACCCCTTCCACTAGAGCTGCTTGCTCCAAGCCCCTGTGTCCAACCTGGCCTTGAACACTGCCAGGGATGGGGCAGCCACAGCTTCTCTGGGCACCCTGTGCCAGCGCCTCAGCACCCTCACAGGGAAGAGCTTCTGCCTAAGAGCTCATCTCAGTCTCCCCTCGGGCAGGTTCAAGCCATTCCCCTTGGCCTGTCCCTACATCCCTTGTCCCAAGCTCCTCTCCAGGTTTCCTGCAGCCCCTTTAGGCACTGGAGCTGTTCTCAGGTCTCCCCTTCAGGAGCCTTCTCTTGTCCAGGCTGCCCCAGCCCAGCTCTCTCAGCCTGGCTCCAGAGCAGAGCTGCTCCAACCCTGCAGCATCTCCGTGGCCTCCTCTGGACTCACTCAAGGAGCTCCACGTCCCTCTTGTGTTTATTGCAGCTCCACAGTGGATCGTTTGCCTCACCCCAGTACCTCAGTGCTGCTATCCTGCCTGCTTTGGGCTCTGCCCAGCCAGGTTTCACCCGTGCTCCTCTGCAAGGAGTTTAAAACATAACCCGTGGTGCATTTGTCACCAGGATCAATGGTGCTGTCAGCACTGCTTTGCTGTAATCACTTGTGCTGTCCTGCCAGAGCTCAGCAGCTCCGTGGCTGCTCCTCTCCCTGCTCTGCTGCTTAATGTGCTGCTGGAGAAGAGCTGGGGCTTCTCATCCCAGCCCAGCTCGTGGAGCAGCTCACCCTGCACCGCTGCTTGTTCCCCTGCTGCTGAGCGATTGCTGGCTCCTTCCTGATGTTTCACTTGGGGATAGGTGGGGATCTTCCTTGCCAGCAGATGCCATTCGCAGAGGCTCCATGAGGGTTCAGGTTTTGTCCATGGAAAGCCTGCACCAGCTCAGCTGCTCCGTGTCCCGCAGACATCTCTGCTCCACAGGCTGACAGCTCCCCATCGTGTCAGGTGGCTGCTCTCGGTCTGTGTCCTCGCCATCTGCAGGCGTCTCCATGCCCAGCTTCATCCCTCAAAGCCACATTTCTCTGTCGGGCTGCATTCAGAATTCACTGCTCAGCCCAGGGATGGTTTTAAACCTTTTTCCCCTTCAGGTTCTCTCCTTTTCCTGGCCTTGTTGAAATAAATGGTTGGATGCTGCTCCAGGGTATTTTCCACCCTCTTCACCACTCTCCTGTGCTTGTTAAAGACATTAATGTGGTCCAGGAGCAAGTGGTACTCACTGGGGTTTCCAGGCTGGCTGGTGCCTCTGGGTAGGTCAAAGCTGTGTGGTTGGCCCTGCTGGGAGAGCAGCACTCGTTTTGGGGATGCGAGGAAGGAGATGCCTCTGTGCCATAGAACAACAAATACGGTGGCTTGGATCCCTGAGGTTTGGGGAAGGAAGAGGACAAGGTCCCCGAGTGCAGGAGACCCCAGACATGTCCCACATCACGCCCTGGGCAGAGCCAGCCCTGCAGAGCTCATCCTGGTTTCCAGCGAGGTCCACGCTCGTGTGGGTCAGTGCCCACCAGTGGTGGACCTGGCGGATGTAGGTGCTGCGGATGTGCCGCTGGATGCAAAGAGCAGCTCCCACCCAGGGTTTTCCATGGCTTTCCTCCCTCTGGCCTCTCCCCATGGAGCCAGACCCGGGTTGTTGTCCTCAGGGAAAACAGAGGAGGAGATTTGCTGCAGTTTGACTGCAGCACTGACGGGGACAGGACAAGCTGCTGGTGTGCACAGGCCCCTCGTGCGTGTTGGCAGCTGGCAAAGCACCCCTGGCCCCGGGTCCTGCTGCTTCCCCTCATCCCTCTGCTCAATCCCACTCTGGCCAGCCCGGGGTTGAATTTCCACCTGTAACCTTGCTGTGGGGACCAGTGACAGGGAGGCTCCTGCCCTGAGGTGTCCCAGCCCTGCAGCAGTAGCACCCAGCTGAGGCCACATCCACTGCGCTGGGAGCAGGCACCTTTCCTGTGTGCTGGCATCGGGTCCTTGCTGTAAGGCTGGGTTCAGGGGGAGGTTTCATGCTTTAGGATGATCACATTGGCTATGGGGCTGCCATGCATCCCAGGGAGGATGGGCCATGCCCCCAAAGAGATTTGCTGCTCAGTCCCAATTTGCTAGCTCCAGTATAGCAGTATAATGATTTCCCACTATAGCAGCCACCGTGTCCCAAGATCATCACCTCTGCAGGGGGGTGACAGTGGCCTTGGCCACCTAAAACCCCATCTGCGTGCTGCTCTCAGCTCACAGAGCGCGAGCACCCGGCCCCTGCTCCCACAGCCGAGGAGCCAGGACAGAAAGCTGGTGCTGGGCATCGCCCAAACCCCTGAGCTTGGTGGTGGGGATGATGGAGAGGAAGTCACCAGGACCTGGACTGGGCAGGGGATGGCAATGGCACTCGCTCTGCCATTGCCCAGAGCAGCGTGTGGGGGGGCTGCGGGTGATGCTGGGCTCAGTGGAGCAGAGATGCTCCCCTGCTTCCCAGCCCACTGGAAGCTGCAAGTTCCCCTTGGAAGTTCCTCCACGTGAGCGTGAGTTCACAGCACGTCCCCAGCACCCGGTGAGTAACCGCGGCCTCACCAGCGCCGTGCAGGGAGAGGCTCCTCAGCGGGGCTGTCCCAGCACGGGTCAGCTGCTTTGGTGGTGAATCCACATCGAACTGTCCCGAATCCCTGACCCTGAGGGGGTGGCAGGGCCGGGCCGGCTTCATCTCTGCTCCTGCCATGTGTGTGCTCTCTTTGACTCATGCCAAAGGGGGAAGTGGTGCTTGGGGAGCCGGGCACCAGCCTTCTCCTCAGGGTGCCTTGGCTTGAGCCCGCTCCCTGCACCATCCCCAGGGCCGGGCTCTTGCCTCCAACCCCCCTTGGCATTAGCAGGGTTCGCTCTGTGTTCTGGGGGCTCCAAAGCGGGTGCTTTGGTGATGCCAAGGAAGAGGCAGCACAGGGAGGGTCTGATGCGGTGCCGGGGGCTTTGGGTCAATGCTGCAGGGAACAGGCAGCTGGATGGTGAGTGAGGACCTGTCTGACCCCGAGATGAGCTCAGGTCCTGGCTGCTCCCGGGCTTTGCTGCAGGGACAGACCCTGCTGCAGGCAGTGGAGGAGCTGTGCGGGGCCGGGCTTGGGTTGAGTCCTGCCTGGAGCTGGCACCTCTGCCTGGGGCTGGTCTTTACCGTTAGCTCGGAGCAAAGAGCAGGACCTGGCCCTCGGCCTTCCCAGCTCTGTCAATATTTGCCGGCAGCAGCCCCATGCTTGGCCCTGGCTCCTGCTCTTCACCTTCCAGGAAGGGGCTGGAGCGGGAGAAGGGGGTTCCTGTAAGCACTGATAAGCCGGGGCAGGAAGGAGCCGTGGCTCTCACTGGTTGCTCTCCCAGTGCGTGCACCGGAGCAGGGTGGTGGCACCGGGGGCTCCGTGCTTGGCCCTTCCCAGGGCTGGGAAAACTGAGGGAGGGCAGGAACAGGCACCCGCAGGCACCCACCGGGGCCCGGCTGAGTGTGGTGCGGGGATGCCAGCGGTCATGGGACGTGAGCATGGGACTGGTGGGAGGAAACGAGGTTGGTGCAAGGCTGGGAGCACAGGGACAGCCCAGGGGGGATGCCCAGGTTTCCTTGGCTTGGCTTGGCTTTGCTCTTCATCCTCTTCGCGTTTCTCGGTTCTGGAAGTCCCATCCCGTTGTGGCAACTCCAGGAGGGCTCCAGGCACATCCCTGCGCAGCTCTGGGACAGATTCCCTTTATGGCAGCAGCAAGAGGGGGACCGCAGCATCCCCGCTGCCACCAAGCGCAGGGCACGGAGCCCTGAGCGCTCCTGCACCCTCCCGGCGCAGCGCAGGGATGCTCCGCGCTGCCGGCGGCTCCCGGGGCGCTGCCGGTGCCGGTGCCCCCGCTCGGTGCTGCCGCCGCTCAGCTCCGATGCTTTCTAGGAACCGGCTCTTGCCCAAGTGCTGGTGCCAGAGGAAGCCGCCACCCCCGCGGCAGCCGCATCCGGTCCCCCCACCCGGGGACCCGGTCCACCCCGCCTTGGAAGCGCCGGGGCCGGGCAATGGCAGCAGCCGCAGACCGGTCCCGAAGGATGCTGTCCCCTTGTGCCCCGTGTGTCTGTCCCCGTATCCCCGCGCCCCGGCCGCACATCATCACCCCCACCCCACCGCAGGCAGCACAGGCAGAGAGCCGGACTCTGGAGCAAAAATAGTTTATTTCCATTTATATTGCGTATAAAACCGAGCAGGGATGTGTCTGTGGGGCTCAGGCAGCAATAAATACGGTACAAAACACACCGGGATGGGCTGGGAACCATCCAGTACAGCTCCGGGAACCGGGAGACCGGGAAATGGATGAGAATAACTTAAACTGCAATAAATACACTGAGTTTAGCAGGGAATGGGGATGGGCGGTGGAAAAACCTCCTCGTGGGAAGCTGCTGCATCCCTACGGCACCTCCCTTCTCCCCTCCCTCTTCCCTAATGACTACTAAATATCAGTGTCACTATGCCAACGAGAAGTGACACCGGTCAGGTCTGTCCCTGCAGCCCAGGCAGGGAAATGCTGCTCCAAAGCTGCTTCATCCATGGATGAAGGCGGTTTTCCTGTGGGATGCAGCGCGCTGAGCCCTTGGGGTAGCCCATGGGGGCTCAGCCCAGCAACTCGTAGCAGAGATACACTTTTGTTTAAATATTAAACAAGGGCGATGCTGCGCACGGGTCCGTGTGCGGTGGGGCCGGTGCCGAGCAGCATTCCCGTCCGGAGAGAGCTTAAATAGCCATAAATATTAAATAGGTGGGAAAGCCGGGAGCTCCCGGGCAGGGCGCCAGGGCTGGGACATAAATAAATGGGGAGAGGCGGTGTGGGGCCGGGGTCAGAGGTGTGCGAGGTGCCGCAGCGCCCGGTACGTGGCCTCCAGGAACCGCTGGAAGTCGGCCAGGATGAAGAAGCTGCCGACCTGGTGGTGGAAATGGGAGGAGAAGGCGGGCAGGGGACCCCGGGCCTCCGTGGGGTACGTCACCGTGGCCAGGCCCAGGTCTTCCATCTGTAACTGGGCAGAGGCAGAGGCATCAGCTCCGGGCCCTGGGAGCGCGGCAGCAGAGCCCCGTGAAGGCACAGAGTGGGTTGGGTTGAAGGGACCTTAAAGCTCCTCCAGCTCCAACCCCTGCCACGGGCAGGGACCCCTTCCACTGGAGCAGCTTGCTCCAAGCCCCTGTGTCCAACCTGGCCTTGAACACTGCCAGGGATGGGGCAGCCACAGCTTCTCTGGGCACCCTGTGCCAGCGCCTCAGCACCCTCACAGGGAAGAGCTTCTGCCTAAGAGCTCATCTCAGTCTCCCCTCGGGCAGGTTAAAGCCATTCCCCTTGGCCTGTCCCTACATCCCTTGTCCCAAGCCCCTCTCCAGGTTTCCTGCAGCCCCCTTAGGAACTGGAGCTGCTCTCAGGTCTCCCCTTCAGGAGCCTTCTCTTGTCCAGGCTGCCCCAGCCCAGCTCTCTCAGCCTGGCTCCAGAGCAGAGCTGCTCCAACCCTGCAGCATCCCCATGGCCTCCTCTGCCCTCATTCAGCAGCTCCACGTCCCTCTTGTGCTGCTGCCCCAGAGCTGGATCAGGACTGCAGGGGGGGTCACCCCAGAGAGCAGCAGAGGGGCAGGATCCCCTCCCTGAGCTGCTGCTCACGCTCTGGGGGTGCAGCCCAGGATGCGGTGCCCTCGCTGTGCCCATCCTGCCCCCCAGCTCCCCTCACCTGATGCTGGATGTTGGAGGACAGGTTGGCAGCATCCAGCTGCACGCTCTCCACCAGCGCAGCGTGCCCGGGCAGCAGCTCCAGGACAGCATCGAGGGAGCTTTGGTAGGTGCGGAGTCCCTCTCGGATCTGGCTGAAGCAGGCTTCCTGCGGAGTGCATGGCGTGGTCAGCTCGGCACGGCCACCGCAGCGCCGGTGGTACTGAGCCCGGCCAGCTCGTGGCACAGGTGGGCCCTGGCACTCACCGCCTGGAAGCCGCGGCCGTGGCACCGCTCCATGGGCACCTGCGCCATGCTCAGGTCCTGCCGCAGCAGCAGCAGTTCTTCCTCCTTGCACAGCTGGAAGGTGTCGCACTGCGGCCAAAGGGGGGACGTGGTCAGGGGGGCTGGAGGACCCCGTCACCCCCAGCTCCCATCCCTGGGGTTTGGGATGGGGGAGACCTGGTGCCGAGTGTGGTGGAGATGGGGCTGCCCCTCTGCTTTGTGCCCTGGGGCGGTCCCCAAGGGAGCAGCAGCCCCGTGCACGGCCACAGCCCCACAGCAGCGAGGTGCAAGGGGTCAATAAGGATGGGAGGGGGACGGCCACCGCTGCCACCCCAGCGCGGTGCCCGGGACTCACCACCGCGTGCTGCAGCGCGGCCACGTCCCCCTTGATCTTGCGGGTGAATTCCAGGTTGTTGCTGAGGAAGATGAGGAATCTCTGGTCCCCCGAGAGCTCGGCCAGCGGCGCCCCGAGCAGCGCCGGCCACGGCGCCCACAGCAGCAGTGCCAGCACGCCTGCGGGAACAGCGGCTCAGCACCCACCGTGCCACGGCCCCACCGCTGCCACCGGGGATGGAGGCACCGGCACAGCCTGGGGAAGGGACCCCGTGGAATGGGGGAGATGCAGCAGGCGCTGCCCGTGTGCCACCGGTGCCGTGGCGCTGGGGCCGTCGGCTGCAGGCTTTGGGTGTGTGGGTGCGGCGGGTGCTACAGGTAGAATGGGGTTAGTGGGGGCTCTGGGAGCTGTGGGAAAAGTGGGTGCGGTGGGAGCGATGGGTGCATTGGGAATGATGGGTGCAGTGGGAGCAGTTTTAGCAGTGGGAGCAGTTGGAACAGTGGGAGCACTGGGAGCACTGGGAGGAGGAATGGGAGTAATGGAAGCAGTGGGTGCAGTGGGAGCAGGTTTAGGAGTGAGTGCAATGGGCTCAGTGGAAGCAGTGGGAGCAATGGGACCAGTGGGTGCAGTGGGAGCAATGGGAGCAGTGGGAGCAGTTTTTAGCAGTGGGAGCAGTGGGTGCAGTTTTAGCAGTGGAAGCAATGGGAACAGGGGGAGCAGCGGAAGCAGTTTTAGCAGTGGGAACACTGGGAGGAGTTTTAGCACTGGGAGCAGTGGGAGCACAGGGAGCGCTGGGAGCAGTGGGAGCACTGGGAGCACAGGGAGCGCTGGGAGGAGTGGGAGCACTGGGAGCAGTGGGGCTGTGGGGCTGCGGTACTCACGGGTGACAGCGCACATGGTGCCCAGCTCGGTGTCTCCTCCTGCGCGTGAGGGTGGCCCGGCCGATGCAGCTGCTGCCCCGGCATTGATCAGGGCATTTATAGCGGCCGCGGGGATTCACACCGATGTGGCAACAGCTCCGGTTGCTTCATTGCCTTAATCACCAACATGCAAATCCGGGCGCGGGTGCTCGCCGCTGCCCACCCCTCCTGGCCTGGGGCTTTCCCGGTGGGCAGCGGGTGCCCCTCAGCGCAGCGGCAGCCGGCGCCCGGTGGAGCCCTGGCACCGCGGTGGGTGCCCGGTGCGGGGCCGGCGGCTCGGTGACACATTAACCCGGCTCTCGCCTCGCCGCCCAGGGCCCAGCACTGCAGGGTCACTCCCCGGTGACCGGGCAAGGGGACGGTGGCTTTTCACAGCCGGCATTCCCTTGGGATCAGCGCCCTTCCCAGCCCATGTGGGCACCTCCCCTGCCCGAGCCCCTCACCGCGGCATCGGGGCGGGCAACAACGGTGTGAGCTTCCCGGTGGTGGGAGCAGTTGGAGGTGGTCAAGGTGAGATCCCAGCCAGGCACTCGCCCAGGGCCGCAGGGCTGGATCCTGCCTCGTTGGGTGCTGCAGGGCTGGGCTGTGCTCAGCATCCCCATACATGAGCACAAGGGGCCTGACCCCCTCCTCCCCGGCTGGGGCCGTCCCGATCAGCGCCTTCGGGGAAGCATTGGCCAGGGCAGCCCGGCACGGGGCCGGCTGCTCCCACCCCATTGTGTCCCCACGGCGCTGACCAGGGGGATTTGGCTCATGCTGCTTCCCGCAAGTGCTTCCAGGATGATTTGCTGGGTCGGTGCCAGCTGGAACGGCTCCTGCCCGGCACGGGCCAGGGTGTGGGATGCAGGGATCCGGGCAGGGTGACGCCAGCGCAGCGCTGAGCTCTGCACCCAGCCTGGGTCCCATCACTGCCCTCCTGCAGGCCATGGGGAGGGGGACAGGGACCACTGGGATGGGCCCCAGAGCCAGCACCAGGCTCTGGGAGCTGCTCCCACCTCCAGCTGGGGAAAGGATCCCCCCCCCATTGGTGGCTGTAGTCAATCTGTGAGCATCACCCAGGGCCTGGCAAGAGGCTGGTGTTCACTCTGAAACCTAATGGTGACTTCCCCTCTTAGACCTGGCACTACCTGTCCTGCCTTCAGGCTGTGTGAAAGGACCCTGGTAGTGGAGCCTGTTTATAGGGAGGACACCCCCAACTCTACACGTGCCCTCCCCAGAGCCACTGGAAACCATGGCCCTCCTGGAGCCGGTGCCCATGGAGGGGGTTTGTTGCATTGTGCCCATGGGGGTGAGCCCGGAGCGGAGCTGACATCTCAGCGGGTCGGACTTTCAGGAATCGGGGTGAGGGGGACGTGAATCAGTGCTTGGTGGAGCCCAAAGTCCCCGTCAGCTTTCCAGGGAAGGAAGGAAGGAAGGAAGTGGTGACCAGACCCGAAACCCTGTGGGTGGGTGCTGGGGCACGAGGGCAGCACAAAACCCCCTGGGACCGGAGCTGTCCAGCCCCAGGGACTGTCCCCAGCATCCACCCCACTGCGGTTCTGCCTCATGGTCACCCTTCCTGTGTGGGGCCTGACCCAGGCACCATCAGCCCCAGCCCAGCATCCCTAAGTGAACGCTTCCAGGGTGTCCCCTAGTGTTCCCAGTGCTGGATCCAGCTCTCACCTTCCCTGCTCTGCCCCACAGGTGACCTTAGAGCAGGGACAGGCCGGACCCTGGGCAGCCCCATGCTTAACCCATAGCCAGGCATGGACACATTGGGACACTCATGGATGGCCCTGGAGAATGAACACCCATGGTGGTGTGACCCAATGGTGCACCTGCAGGTCCCATCACTCCCCGACACTGGTGCCTGTGAGGGACAAGGATCCAGCTTAACCCCAACCCCACCCCATGCCCTTCCCAGCAGGACTTGGGGGGGGTTCAGCCCTCTATGCAAATGGTGTTTTTCCCACTTTTATTTTAAAAGTCATAATTGAAGCTTAACAAAGTTTGACCCCATCATCGCTGCGAGAGCCGGGGGCACCCGCGGTGCCGCGCTCCCCGCACCCGCCCCGGCTCTGCGGCCCAGGGAGGCCCCAAGGGCAGGGGCTCCTCTGTGCAACCCCCGTGACCACAGGAGACCTTAAAAGAATGCTGGGTGATTGGGGAAGGGGGATCCCGCTGCGGGGAGCAGGGGGTGGGAAGAGGCTGCATGGCCAGGGATTTCCCCCCCCCCCCCAGTGTCCCCCTCCCACCGGACAGACATGCAGGTATCTATAAAAGAAAGGGGCCGGGGCCGTGCGGGGGAAGCGCCGCTCAGGCAGCATCTGCCCTAGGGACAGCTAAAAAAGTAGAGGCAGGCCAGAGGCTCAGGGGAAGCCGTCATCGTCGTCCTCTGCCATCTCCTTTGCGAACTCCAGGTCCTGCTGCTCGCGCTCCCGGCGCTCCTGCAAGGCAAAGGCCAAAGGAAAAGGTTGGTGGGGGGCCGGGGCCAGGAGCTGCGTCCGTGCTGCAGCCTCGGAGGTTGTAAAGGAACCCCCTCCAAAGAGACCTCACCTCTGCAGATTCCAAGTCTTTGTTGTAGGATTTGGGTGGGAACCTCATGGCCTGGAAAACAAAGAAGGAACTTCACTGGGGACAAGGGGTGATGGGTTCAAACTGAACCAGGGGAAGTTCAGGTTGGAGATAAGGAAGAAGCTCTTCCCTGGGAGGGTGCTGAGGCGCTGGCACAGGGTGCCCAGAGAAGCTGTGGCTGCCCCATCCCTGGCAGTGTTCAAGGCCAGGTTGGACACAGGGGCTTGGAGCAAGCTGCTCCAGTGGAAGGGGTCCCTGCCCATGGCAGGGCTTGGAGCTGGGGGAGCCTTAAGGTCCCTTCCAACCCAAACTCTTCTACGGTTCCAAGAGGAGAAGCTCCTCAAGCGCCGCCGCTGTCCCCTCAGCCAGGCCCTGCAGCCCCTCGCACCTTGACGGACATGTTGTGGATGTCGAGGCAGAAAGAGATGCGCTGGTGAAAAGCCAACTGGGGCTCCCGCGTGGAGTAGATGTCGATCATCTCCTTGGACTGGACGTAGCCCTTCTCGTGGTTAATGCTGGCCTCGATCACGCCGTCCCGGATGGCCTGCAAGCCGGAGCGCAGGTCAGGGCACCCGCTGCCTCCCGGGGCTGACCTTTAGGGGGAAGGGAGGAGCTGGCTGCTGTGACAGCAGCGCTGAGCTCAGGCCGCGGCGCACAGAGAGGGGATGTGGTGCCCTGGGTGTCCCCAGCGCCCCTTTGGAGGGGCCTCAACCTAAAACCAGCGACTGCCCCAGGGAGGGAGCCTGCTGCCAGAAGCGGGGGCTGTGGGCAGCTCAGGACGCAGAGGGACAGGACTTGATGCAGGTACCTTGGCAACAATGAACTCTGCATCCTCTGGACTGTCCAGCTGCAGCTTCTGGGCGATGTCAGCCAGGGAGATGCGAGAGTAGGACAAGCTGATCATCCGGACACCTGCGAGGAGGGACAGGAGTGCAGCCCCCCGGGCCAGGCAGCCCAAGGGTCCCCAAGCACCATCCCTGCAGCCTCCTACCCGTCTTGATGACGTTGTGCCTCAGACGAATGATCAGGGTGTAGGTGCCATCGGCCTGGAACTTGTCCCCAAACTGATCAAGGACTTGGTTGAACTTGGCCAGGTTCCCAGTCCTGACAGCTGGAGGAGAGAAGGTGCTTGTCAGGGAAAGAGAATGGGGAAAGCGAGGAGGGCAGCTCCTTGCCCCCGAGAGCTGCCTCCTCCCCCTCCCCAAGAGGAGCCTGCAGCTGAATCCCCTTGAGGGGAGAGGAAGTCCCCACTGCTCCCCTTCCCAGGGCTTCCTGCTCCCCCAGAGCCTGGGACACGGCTCAAGGCGCTGCCTGTTGTACCCTGAGTCAGGAGGAAGTAGGGCATGAGCGAGCGCTTGAGGGAGGGCTGTCTGAACTGGAGCCTGTCTGGGATCTCCCCCAGCAGCAGTTCCACCACGATGAGCAGCTTGTGCACCTGGAGCAGAAAGAGACCCCGTGAGCCGCAGCTTCCCTGAGGATCCAGGAGGATCCGAGCCCCTCGAGCTTCCCATCCCTGCTCACTGTCTGCTTGAAGCCGACGGCCGTGTGCTGCGGGGCCTTCCGCAGGGCGTTCGTCATGGTCCTCCGCGCCTCCGAGTACTCCAGCTGGATGGCCTTGATGCGCCCTGCGTTGAGACAGGCCACAAGGGGCTTGGAAAAGCAAATCCAACTGGATCCACTGGATCAAATCCTGCCTGGAAACCCCATCTCCAGCTGTTCCAATGGGTTCTGTGCAGATGCAGAGCCCTGGATCTCGGGCACAGCCCAAGCGCAGGACCCTCTGTCTCACCCGTGTAATAGAGGTACCGAGCCCACTCGTTGTTGTTGGCCTGCTCAGGAAACACGGACTTGGAGACGAGCTTCTCGGCCTGGTCGTAGAGGTTGTAATGGAGATAGTTCCTCAGCAGCAGGTTCAGGATGGTGGCCTGGCCGTCGGCATCGTGCCGCAGCGTGGCCGTCCGGAGCCGGGCGTGCAGGAAGCTGTAGGGAAGGGAGGGAAGGTGGCAGGGAGGAGGAAAGCAGCAGCCCTGGCTCTTTGGGACGCAGGTCCCAGCCTACCTCCTGACCACGTCGAGTTTGTTCAGGAACTCATAGATGCGGGAGTGGTAGTAGTAACATTTTGCCACCACCAGGTCAAGGGCCCGGCGGTTCTGGGAGCTGATCTTTTGCATCAGGTCGTCAGATACCTTCTGAGCCTGCAGGAGGGGAACAGAGCTCAAGGTGGGGGAAGTGATGCTCTGAAGAGCAGCGAGGCTGCGGGGCTGAGCCCAAGGCTGCCTCCAGATGCAGCTGGAACAAAGGGCAACACAGAGATGCGGGTCCCCTGGGGGTCTCCACACCCTGCCTGGTGCAGCAGCACCACACAAAGAGCTCAGGGGACCTCACCTCTGGGTACCGCTTGCTGTTCATCAGGTAGATGACCAGGAGCAGCTGCAGGTAAGTCTCCACTTCTGGCAAGAGCGGGGCTGAGGCCGCCTTCCCCGTGCGCGGGCGAAACTGCAGCTCAGCTTCCGTGTCCATGGACTGAGGGCAGAGACATTGCTGGATGCCTGCTCCCCCCCCCATGCCACCTCTGCCTGCAGCAAGGCCCATGTGCAGCCCGGTGACAAGAGCCGGCCCAGATGCTGGCACCCTGAGCTCCCGGTGCCCTCCCACTGCCCCCCAAGCAGAGGTTCCTCAGTGCAGGGAATGGTGTCCCCTCTGCCCGTACCTCCTCCAGGAAGCCGAGGAGGAAATCCCGCACGGCGCTGTTGGAGGTGAAGAACCCATGGATGGCTTTGTGGAGCACGTTGGAGTTGAGGCGGCGGGAGGTGGAGGGCAGGGCCCGCAGAGCCCGCAGGACGTAGCGCGGCTCCTTGCCCGACACAGCCTTTTCCAGCTGCTTCACGTGCTCCTTGATGTCTGCGGGAGGGAGCACCGGGAACAGCCTCACCCGGAGCAAAGGCAGCGCAGGGTCCCTCTGTCTGCTCAGGGCACCAGGACTGTGCGCTCCCCAGTGCCCCCCCCCAACCCCTTCTCTGTCCTCCCTCTGCAGCCCACCGAGGCTCTTCTGCAGCTCCCGCCACCCCCTGCTCCTAAGGGTGCCCCCCTCAAACACAGCTCCCCTCTTCCCTTCCCCTCATAAGGCCCTCACAGCTCCCTTTTGCCACTGACACCCTTTGCAGCACCCCCTTTTCCTCACCCCGCACTACTCCCTCCTCCTCAAGGCCCCCCCATTACTCCCTCCTCATCAAGGACCCCCCATTACCCTTCCTCCTCCTCAAGGACCCCCCATTACCCTTCCTCCTCATCAAGGACCCCCAATTACCCTTTCTCCTCCTCAAGGACCCCCCCATTACCCTTCCTCCTCCTCGAGGACCCCCCCATTGCCCTTCCTCCTCCTCAAAGACCCCCCCATTACCTTTACTCCTCATCAAGGACTCCCCCGTTACCCTTCCTCCTCCTCCAAGACCCCCCCATTACCCTTCCTCCTCCTCAAAGACCCCCCCATTACCCTTCCTCCTCCTCAAAGACCCCCCCCCCATTACCCTTCCTCCTCCTCAAAGACCCCCCCATTACCTTTACTCCTCATCAAGGACTCCCCCGTTACCCTTCCTCCTCCTCCAAGACCCCCCCATTACCCTTCCTCCTCCTCAAAGACCCCCCCATTACCCTTCCTCCTCCTCAAAGACCCCCCCCATTACCCTTCCTCCTCCTCAAAGAGCCCCCCCATTACCCTTCCCCCTCCTCAAAGACCCCCCCCCCATTACCCTTCCTCCTCCTCAAAGACCCCCCCATTACCTTTACTCCTCATCAAGGACTCCCCCGTTACCCTTCCTCCTCCTCCAAGACCCCCCCATTACCCTTCCTCCTCCTCAAAGACCCCCCCCATTACCCTTCCTCCTCCTCCAAGACCCCCCCATTACCCTTCCTCCTCCTCAAAGACCCCCCCATTACCCTTCCTCCTCCTCAAGGACTCCCCCACCCTCCTCCTCAAGCCCCCCCCAGCCTCCCTACACCCCCCCATTCCCCCCTTCTCCCCCTCCCCAGCCCCACACAGTTCCCCCACCGAGGCTCCCAACGTGAGACCCTTCTCCCTTTCCCACCCCCACGTTACCGGGACCCCGTCCCCCCCCGCTCACCCTCCAACGTGACGGCATCGAGCTCCCGCTGCGGCTGCCGCTCCCCGCCCGTGTCTGCGGCCGCCGCCTCCTCCTGCATCTCCACGTCGGGGGGCGCGGGCGGGGGCCCCTCGGGGGGGGCCTTGGCCTTGTCTCGGCGGCGGGACGGGGCCTCCTGCTTCATGACACTGCACCAAGCGCGGGGCACGCCGGGAGCCGCCAGGCCCCGCCCCGCCCCGCTCTCAGAGCTAGGCCCGCTCAGCCGAGCGCCGAGCGTTCGGCTCCTTCCGTTCGCGCCCGCTCGGGACTTTCCGTCACGCTCTCGGCTGTTCCCGCCGCTCCCGCCTGGCTCGCTGAGGTGAGGTGCGAGGGAGCGGGGATGGCCGCGGGCGCTTCCCTCCGCGGGGGCTCGGGGAAGCGGGGCTCGGCTTCCCGTCGCCTTGTGGGTACCCCCTCCACCCCCTCCCGTGCTGTTGGTGTCCCCGGAGCCGTCAGTGGCCGCCCAGGTAAGCGGCGGGGCCCTTCGCTGAGGGACCTCGGAGCTGGGGGGGAGCCGGGCGGGGAGCAGCGCGGCGTTACCTCAGGGTAAAAAGCGCCCTTTGAAAGCGCTGTGTTGGTCAGGAAAGAGCTTTATTTGTAAAGCGGCCATCAGGGCGGCTCTGAAGCGTGCTGCTGCAGGTGGGGCCTGCGTCCTTCACCTCCTCTGAGCTGCCCCTCGGCAGCTCATTGAGCTCTGGGGTTGCTGGGGGGCTGCATGAGCAGCGGTGGAGGTGCTTTGGGCTGCTGAGGAAAGCCAAGGTCGTGTAAAGCTCAGCCAAGGGGTGGGCATTTGGGCCAGTGGGGGTTGCAGTTGGCATTCGGCATTCATGTGGGAGGAAAGGAAAAGCAGGGTTGGGGTCTGTCTTCCATAAGGAGTTTTCTTGCCTTAGGTTTGCTTTTAGAGTCATTGAGTGGTTTGGATTGAAGGGACCTTAAAGCTCACCCAGCTCCAACCCCTGCCACGGGCAGGGACACCTTCCACTGGAGCAGCTTGCTCCAAGCCCCTGTGTCCAACCTGGCCTTGAGCACTGCCAGGGATGGGGCAGCCACAGCTTTTTTCCTTTGCCACTCATTTCAAAGCAGTGCAAGAGCCTCACCTATGCAGGGATGAAACCTGGGGAAAGAAGCTGTCTTGTGCTAAGAGACTTTCAGATACATTGTGAAGTGATTATCTTTAAATGATTGTGCATGGGAGGGCTGTGTAACCTAACAGGGGTTACTCAGAAGATTGAGGATGTACAGAGACACATAGAGGGCTTCTGTGGCTGAGGAGGCGTCTTCTGTGCAAGCAGCAGATCCATCCTCACGGAGCTTCACCCCGCTCATCTCCATCATTGCAATGGTTACTTGGCGGTCCCTCTCTCGGGAGAAGGAGAGCAAGCTGGGGTCTGCGCTGAACCCCTTCCTATATTCTCTCTGTTTCAAGATGCTCTCAACCTTCACAGCAAGGACCAAAAGAAAAGGCAAAATCAGTATTTTAATATCGCAGCTGTGGAAGTCGTTAAGCAAATGATCTCTTGGGTTTGCAAAGTGCTGCTCATATGGGACTTTTCAACCCGAAAGATTATTGTGCTTGTGTATTCAGTTCCTGCCTTCTTGGGGATTGGTTATGGCCAAGGAATTAAAATTGTAGAATCATAGAATAGTTCGGGTTGGAAAGGACCTTAAGATCATCCAGTTCCAACCCCCCTGCCATGGGCAGGGACACCTCTCACTAAACCATGGCACTCGAGGCTCTGTCCAGCCTGGCCTTGAACACTGCCAGGGATGGAGCATTCACAACCTCCCTGGGCAAAATAGTGTTTTTTTTGCTGTTTTCTTATTTAAATCAGGAGCCAAAGAAGCCAGGGATCTCTGACCACCATTTCCAGCCGAGCAGTGGTAGCTGGGCCCGATTGAATGCTGATTATCAGCAAAACAGCTGGTAGAAATCTTTGGCCTTCATGTCTTGGGGTGATTTTCCTTAAAGTATGCTGATCTCTGCCAAGTTTGAAGCAATCATTCCTTCCCTTTTCCCACTGTTACCCTAAATTGGGGTACTGCTGCCTGTGTCATCATGTCAAAGTTGCTTTACTTGAAATAACACCCCCCTATCCCTTCATTTGGGCCCAATGAGGTGTATGTTCTCTCACCAGCTTAAGCTGTTGGGACACGATCTTGTTTTCCAGGGACTCAAGCAGCAGCAGGTGCTGATCCTCACTGAGCTCTGCAGAATTAAAACAGGTTGTGCCAAAACCCCACCACAACTGGAGCCAGCTGGGGAGAAGTGAAGGGTGAGGAATGCTTTTGGTGTATTCTGGTGCTACTGATTTCTCTGTTAAAGTGGCCAGCAAGCCTTACCTTCTAAAGCATCAAGGGTGTAGGTGATGGCTGCTGCCATGCTGAGGAGAATGTCTGCTGAGGAATGGTGCAAGCGGCTCAGCAGGTCTTTTAAGGCTGCGCTTTCTGTTTTCAGCTCGCCCCTGTCGCCTTCATCAAGAACTGTTTCCATCTAGGGGAGATAGGAGGAAACAGCAGGGTTTAAGAGGCTTGTGAGTCCAGGAGTTTGTGAGCAGTCATGTAGTATGTATCTTCCCCTCCCTAAGCTATTTGTGAGGCTGTAATTGATAGCTGCAGTTAAAGACAGGATAGGACATTTAAATGGTTTGATACCTTCAAGTTAACCTGCTAGGCTCTACAGAGGACACATTTCTGCAGTTGACTCTGTCCTGAGCACCTTCTTTGTCTGTATGGTGATGGAGACCAGACATGCACTGAGTGAAGGCTTTTGGGGTTGGTAGTTGTGGTACAGGAGAGGTGGCAAGAGGTGGATGTCTCTGTCTATAAATCCTGGTAGTAAGAGGAGCTTTGCTTACCTTGTGGCTCAGTTCTTGGAAGAGGTTCCCGTCTCCCATCACAGCTTTGATGGCTTTTAATAAGATGATGGACAGCTGAGACGACAACATGGAGAGAATGTGACAGTTCCTTTTCACTTCTGCCTCCAGTGCTCCTAATATTCCTTCCAGGACATCTGAAAAGCAGAACGAGCCCAAATATCAGTTCCAAAACAGGCAAGTATGAATACTTTCTTTTAAAGCAATGTACAACTTTGAGTTATCGTGTCTCGAAACTACAGCAAAGACACTGATTCTGGTGGCTTGTGTTTGGAGAGACTCAATCTTGCCCAGAGGGGGAAGAAATAGTGCGAGGGAAAGGAGTAAAATGCATTTCTTACCATCAGATGCAAGCCTCAATGTTTGTTTTCTTGGCATGTAGCAAAGATCTGCAACAGGAAAAAAAGGACATTGCTGCAAGGCTTCAAGCTGGGGTGTCTATTTTACCAGGGTGGTTGATTTTAAGCCTGAAGATGTTGGTGTCCCAGGTCTGAGATACCACATGCTGGTTGTAGGTCAGGTGGTGCTCTTCTCTAGTGCACCTGTTCATTTAGGACTCATTATTCCTGAATCTCGTTCCTTACTGTCCTGTGCTTTTCATCAGGCAGCGAATGTGTTAAAACACAAGGAAATTAATATGACAGCTTATACTCCACCAGATCCACGCACGTGTGGGGAGCACAGGGGCAGAAAGGCAGCTGTGCGCTCTTCCAGTCTTGCAGGCTTTATGGAGCTCAGTCCTTTCTTTCTTTGCCCATCCCAGTGAAGGAGCAGCCACCCTGTTTGCTCCCTGACCTTCCGAGGAGGAAAAGAAACCAAAACCAGCACTGCTCTGTGTCATGTCTCAGCAGGAGCTCTGCAGTTCCTGGAATGTGGAGCTGGGGCTTCCCTCTCTCATTCCTTATCACCCCCTTGAAGCTGCATCTCTTTCCCAGGTAGCTCTTTTAACTTGTATACTATGCACAGCTTTTTCTCCAGGGGGTTTCTGTCACTCACACTGTGTTCATGCCTGAAATCAGCTGAGGGCACCTGTGAGGCTAAATAATGCTTCAGAAAACATTTTTCCTCTTCTGTGATGTTTCCCAAATGGAGGAGTTGGCAGTTTTTGGAAGTTACTTACCCCACGTTGCATCTGAAATGGCCAGCTTGAATGCCCTGAAGGCCAGGGTGCAGCCTTTGGGTATGGTTATGCTTTGTTTGTTCCCTCTGGTGCCCTGCTTAGCAAAAGACAAATGTGTTACCAGGCTTGAGGATGTGCAGAGGGTGGGGAAGGGCCGAATCCTGAGCCTGAAACCCAACCTTGGCACAGAACTTGACGTAAAACTGGGCCATGAAGTTGCCGTCTGCCTCAGAGATTTCCTGATAGCTGGCCTCCTCCAGGGTTTCTATGGTCTCATGAACCACGTACAAATTCTGCCCTGTTTTCTGTAGTTGTTGAAGGAAGGTGTGATTTGTATTAATTTTCCTAAAAGAGAAAAAAGGTCGTGGTTTAGTTGGGACAGAAGTCCTGTGGGACTGTATGCTTGAAAATATCACTCTGTTTGTGGCTTCTGGGGGGAAAAAGGTGGCAGAAAATAGGCTTGGAATTCTTGCTGTCCTCAATGCATTCCTCTTCTCAGAGGGGCAGTGGGGTGGTGGCCTGTCAGGTCAGATGGATGACGTGTCATGATCTAACTGCTCCTTTCCAGGCACAAACCATGAGAGGAGAGGCCCTGACTCCATCTCGAGGTGTTCCTGCTTTCTGAATGGCAGAGAGATCTGTAAGCATTACAAAGCTTGGTTTGGAGTCTTCACCACCTCTCTTTCCTGGCCTCTGGAAATCTGCCTGCTTAGGGAGGATGAATGCTCCCTGGTTTTGGGGTTTGGCTGTTGGAAAAACCATTGTGTGACCTGGCGTGGGGCAGAGGAGGATGACCCTTTGTGCCTGCCTTACCTTTCTGTTTTCAGTGCCTCAAGTTTTGCTGGTGGTATGTGTTTCTTCTGCAGCTTGATGGACCACTCGCTGGCCAAGGAGGCAGCTCCTTTCAGCTCCGCTCTTGCGGGGTCAGCAGGAACGATGAGACTCCCATCAATTCTGTCAGTGCCACTCTTTTTGATTAGAAATTGCCTTGAATCTTGTTCACCTCCATTGGGAATGAGAGACTCTGAAATCATTCCATGCATTTGCGTAAGCATGATTACGCAGACTCAGTCTTACAACTAATTGTGCACAAGAAAGATGGGACATGGTGGAGCTCAGCCCCAAATGTTTTGTCTGTGGAAACTGTGAGTTTAAGATTGATAAATGTGGTCTTTACCTGAGCTTTTACCATCCTGTC